CCCATCTTTGCATGAAATGTTCCCTTGGTATCTCTAATTTTCTTGAAGAGATCTCTAGTCTTTCCCATTCTATTGTTTTCCTCTATTTCTTTGCATTGATCGCTGAGGAAGGCTTTCTTATCTGTCCTGGCTATTCTTTGGAACTCTGCATTCAAATGGGAATATCTTTCCTTTTCTCATTTGCTTTTCACTTCTCTTCATTTCACAGCTATTCGTAAGGCCTCCTCAGACAACCATTTTGCCTTTTTGCCTTTCTTTTCCATGGGGATGGTCTTGACCCCTCTCAGTAAATAAATAATGGGGTTTTCCTAGTGTTTCAGACAGTAAAGAATCCTCCTGCAATGCGGAACACTCCAGTTTCATCCCTGGGTTGGGGAGATACCTTGGAGAAGGAAATGGCAACCCATTCCAGTATTCTTACCTGGGAAATCTCATGGACAGAGGAGATTGGCAGGCTACAGTCCCTGGGGTCACAAAGAGTTGGGACATGCTTGAGTGACTAACATTTTCAACATTTGGTGAGTAGCTGTGTAATCCTCTGATCTTAAGAAAGTGCATCTGATTCAGCCTTTATTAGTAAAACTTTATTAGCCCATAGGACAGAGGAACCTGGTGGGCTACAGTCCTTGGGGTCTCAAAGAGTTAGATGTGACTGAGCGACTAACACAAATAAATAATAAGTATATTAGGTCTCCTGACCCTAAGTCTAATCACTGCAGTGACATGATGACAACCAAGTCAGATATCCTGTGTGAGCAATTCTAAACCCACAGGCAATGCATGCGTGCTAAGTCGTTTCAGTCGTGTCTGATTCTGTGCGACCCCATAGACTGTAGCCCGCCAGGCTCTTCTGTTCGTGGGATTTTCCAGGCAAGAATACTGGAGTGGGTGCCATGCCCTCCTCCTGGGGAATCTTACCAACCCAGGGATTGAACTTGTGTCTCCTATATCTCCGGCATTGGCAGGTGGGTTCTTTACCACTAGCGTCACCTGGGAAGCCCATAGGCAGCAGACGAGGAGAAATAATTCTCTGCTTATAAGGAAGAGGAGGCAGCTGTCTGCTCCCTTCCAGAAAGGGTCTTCTCTTTAGCCATTTGATAGGGAAATAAAATGTCTCTAGGAGTCAGATAGATCCACGCAGGTCTTAGCTTTTACAATTTAGAGATGGCAGCCGAGTTCCTGAGTTTCCTTCTTCCTTGATGTGTACAATAATTAGGGAAACAATTCTAGTCTTCCTGGAACCTTGGTGTTTAACCTAAAGACAGTCTTTGTCTGTAACCATTTGACTTGCTAGGGAAGATAGAAATTTATTATTATCTTTTTGGATCAGAGCAATTAACTAGCCAAATGGCTGTAGGTCTAATTCTTAAGGCAGGAGAAGAGTTGGGAATTGGCATTCTCAACTGCCAATTAGCAATCCCAAATGCCAGCCAAGGGTTGACATTTTATAGGCACAATAAGAAATCCAGGGAAAATTCATACTCCCACATTTATCTGAATACTCTTCTAGACTCGTATATCTGCCTTTCATTCTCTAATGTTTCTTGATGAATGGAACCTTCCTAACTGTAAAATAGTTCAGTTTACCATACTTTAAAAAAAAGTTATTTTTTTAGGCTTTTAAAAAATGATTAATGCTTTCTGTTTTTAGTTAAAAAAATATTCTTTAGCCACATGGAACTCTGCTCAATATTCTGTAATAACCTAAATGGGAAAAGAATTAGAAAAGATTAGAAAGAAATAGACACATGTATATGTATAACTGGTGGAGAAGGAAATGGTAACCCGCTCCACTAGAGCCGGACATGACTAAGTGGCTGAAACAACAGCAGCATATGTATAACTGCATCACCTGCTGTAGACCTGACACTAACACAGCATTGTTAATCAGCTACACTCCAGTATACAAAAGATTCTTTACCCCAAGATCATGGAAATATTCTTCTAATTTTCATCTAGAAGATTTATTAGTTTTCTTTTCACATTTTTAAGATTAGAGTCTGATCATCTCTTAAGAAAAAAGCATCAAGGTGTTATAATTGATTACCATAATATGTTGTCTTAGAGATACAGTCGTCAGTATCAAAGTGGCAGACAAGCACATACTTGACAGAAAGTGTTTCCTACGAGGAGATAAATCTGTGCATGTGACTTCACAAATAATTTCCCCTTTTGAAGACAGCTTTATTGAGGTATAATTGATATTCACATATTTAGCATATGTGTAAATTACATATTTTCACAGAAACTCACATTATTTAATGTATACAGTGAGTTCAGACATATTCATACACGGGTGAAACCATTGTCACTGCTGTTCCTGGGAGATCTGGGACTCAGCTTAGGACAAATCAGTCAGTAAAGGAGGAGTAGCTGAGCACCATATAATAGTACATTGATACTGCCTACGTTTCTTGGTTCTCTAAGTAACAGACATATTGTTATAAATATTAACAGTGAATTTCCCCCATGTATTCCTGGAGATAGATTGAGCTAAAAGGATTATCAATACATATTAATGGTAGGTACTAAGTGTCACAGAATGAGGTTGTGATTATAAAACCATGGCTGATATACCGTTAGAGAAAAATACAATGAATACCAAGGAATTCTTTTATGATTTGTTTTTTTTGTACTCAGTAATCATTTAGTTTTTTGATATTGAATGCAACCCTTTTGGTCATGTCTTTGAAAGCTTGTACCACTTGTTTGTTCCTCAGAGTATAAATGAAAGGATTCATTACGGGGGCAACCGAAGTTGTTAGCACTGACACCACCTTATTAATAGCTACCCCTTCTTTTGCATGTGGTTTGATGTAGATGAAAATGCAGGTTCCATAAGTGATAGAAACCACAATTATATGGGAAGAACATGTAGAAAAAGCCTTTTTCCTTTGCTGGGCAGAAGGGAATCTGAGAATGGTCCTGATGATGTATATATAGGACATGATTATACACATCAAGGTGAACAGGAGCGTCAACACAGCCAGGACCAAGACGAATCGCTCTAGGAACTCTGTGTCTGAGCAAGTAATCTTCAGGATGGGAGCAGCATCACAGCCAAAGTGATCTATGACATTAGAGTCACAAAACTCAAGCTCAAAGCCCATGCCAAATGGTGGGATGACGATGATTAGAGCAATCATGTAACAGCCAATGAGGAACTTGATGCAGACCATGTTGTTCATGATAGTTGTGTAATGCAGGGGTTTGCAGATGGCCACATAGCGGTCATAGGACATGGCCATCAGGAGAAAAAACTCAGCCACAGCCAGGATAACAACAAAAAATAATTGAGTGGCACATGCATTGTATGTAACAGTATTGTCCCCAGATGCCATTGTATAGAGGAATCTGGGAATACAGACGGTTGTGAATGACACTTCCAAGATGGAGAAATTCCGGAGGAAAAAATACATGGGTGTTTTGAGGTGAGGATCTACCAAAGTGAGAGTGATGATGATCAGGTTTCCAACAACACTCAAAAGGTAGGTTAGAAACAAAAAGATGAAGAGCAGAATCTGTAGATTTGGGTCATCGGTTAGTCCCACAAGGATGAATGTTGTTATTGCTGTATAATTTTTCATCCCTGATTCCTGACTGTGGTTTTGTCTATGTGTTAAAAAGAAAGAGAGAAATTAGATCAGAGAACTAGACTGTTACATGAGTTAGCAGAGAGATGACATGAAATTCCTAGCTAATGTTAACTTAGTTACATAAGCCAAGGTTTTATTTTATTTACCTGTGAATCAAGAATGCTATTTTATTTACCTGTTAATGAAGAATGCTATTGGAGCAGCACTTAATTAATCATTATTGCTACTGGATTCCCACTGCTGAGCATTATACTGGATACTAGTCGGAAGGCTCTACTTAAAGATTCTTATTACCATATCAATGTAGTATTAATTCAATAGCAAAGGAATTATTTGGTCAACAACCTAATGGAAAAGAAGCTAGGCTTTATTATCAGTGTTAATGAACAGAAAAACACTGTCATAAAAATATGCGTGGTTTGTAATTTCCTGACAATAAAACCTCAAGCTGTGCTGTCATCTTGGTTCTATGGGATACAGGGGTGACTACAGTTAAGGTTGTGAAGTTAAGTTTCTTCTCCTCTCCACCTCTGCTTCCTCGCTTGTGATGATCATCCACATCCTCCTCTAAGGGGCCTCACGCCTCTCTGCTCTCTCCCCTTTTAAACCGCACAGGAGTATATGCTCCTAAGTCTATTCGAAAGAGAGAATCGAAGTAATTTTCAAAACCTTACATAAAATCCATTTCTCTGTTTATAATCACTCACTGGAGTTCCATAACCCTTGGAATAAAAGACTCTTTACTCTGGTTTATAAGATATTTCATGATCTCATTGCTGTGAAATGCTCCTAATTTGTCTCTAGTTTAGCTGTTTGGGTCTTCTGTTCCTTGAAGATGCCAAATTCTTTTCTACCCCCGACTGAAAGGTTGTTGCTGAACCTCAAAAAGACGCCGGGATTCTTGGCCTCCAGAGGAGAAGAATTCAATCTGGGGCCAGAGACAAGGCTTGATCGCTCAGAGATTTCGTGTAATAAAGTTTTATTAAAGTATAAGGGAGATAGAGAAAGCTTCTGACATAGGCATCAGAAGGGAGCAGAAAGAATACCCCCTGCTAGTGTTAGCAGTGGAGTTATATGCTCTCCAATGAATCAAAAGAATGTCTGGAGGTTGTAAAGACCTCACCAGACCTACTCCCATAATTTACATTTTAAGATAACAGGATTAGCCAGAAGGTTTAATCCAGAGACTGTCCTCAGGCAGGATTCATTATTGTTATATAATCCTAAGGAATGTAGAGGGGAAAAAAAGTTTGTCCTTTCTTCCTCCTTGAGAATTCCAGACCCCTCTCTCCTTGGGGACCCCTAGACTTCTTATCAACCTGCCTAGGAAATGACTCTCTCATGATCTTTTGCAGTTTTCTCATTTCTAGAAATGCTCTGTTTGCACTCTGGATTTTATTTTTCAGGTGCTAACTTAAATATAATCCCCTCAAAGATGCATCTCTGAGGATCCTATCTATATTGTTTCTACCTCCAATGTTGTGAGCACACTCTCTGTTTATTTCTTTTATTATCCATTTACTTTTTACTTTCATCCTCTACTTGATAGCAACTTCCATGAGAGCACAGATGGATTTATTTTGTAAACCACTGTAAACCCAAGGCTAGGTTTTTTCCTGGCACTAGCAGATACCAATACAAATTTACTGAGTGAATGAGGCTGGGCATTTTGTCCTGGATAACTGATAGACTAGTTTCGTTTAAAGTGTAACTGAAAAGTTACATCATTCACTTATATTTTAGGTTTTAATCTTCACTTAAGGATTTCAGTGTATTGAGGCAATTCTAGAAATCAGAAAGATAAATGATCAGTTTTAGTCATCAGCTCCCATAATTACACTAAACTACATCATCTGTACCTAAGATTGAATAAGAATTAATCTTTTAAAGCTACTTGGGGTTAAGAGTGGTGTCTTGAAGGAAGGATTGCAGAGGGAAGGCGGTGGCCTGGTGGTAAGGTTTTCACTTTGTTCTTATCTTTGCCTCATTTTCTCAGCAGGAACTTGGCTGGGGAGAATTGTCACCCAGTCCTAGGTCTCCTCTGAGAGAGCCCATCTGGGTTAATTATAAGACATAGGGATGGGACTTCTCTGGTGATCCAGCAGAAGGATATGGGGCTTCCCTGGTGGCCAAGATAGGGGATATGGGTTCGAACCCTGGTTCGGGAACTAAGATCCCACATGCTGCAGGGCAACTAAACCCGTGAACCACAGCTACTCAGCCTGCACCCTAGAGCCCGCAAGCCACAGCTGCTGAAGCCCACAGGCTCCCCCAGCCCGTGCTCCACAACCAAGAGAAGCCACCACGAGAAACCCTCAACTAGAGAATGGGCTTCGCTCAGTGCAACCAGAGGAAGCCCACCCGCAGCAGCGAAGACCTGGAGAAGCTTAAAAAAAGAGATGGGGGTTAAGGGTGGAAGTTCTGGAATAAAATAGCTACCAGGGCTTGATACTTGGGTTCACACATGGTCATGAAACTTTGGAAAGTTCAGTAATGGGCTCTGTTTCCTGGTCTGTGACATGCAAATAATAATTGTATGTTTTTCCTGGGTTAGTGTAAAGATTAAATACATTAATTCTTCTAGGCTCTTAGCGTCCTGCCTGGCATAGATCAGATACCAAATACATTCTATTCATTCTATTTCTTCTTCCCGGACCTACTGCCTCTCCTTGTGTTCACATACTGTCTCATAGTTTTCCCCACCTTATCCCTAGATTTACCTCTCACCTCTTACTGTATTCTGTATACATATTTTAAGGTTGCTGCTATTTTTGAGGTTAAATACAAAATTATAAGGTCCTCTTAAGTCCCACAAATGTAATATTCATTGATAAGTCTGTTTACATGGAAGTAATTCAACTATATACAGTGTAACATGTGACTTATTCTCTCTGAATCTCGTATATTCATCGTCTACACTGTTTATACTTTCTAATGTGATTTCCTGCCCAAGTCTCTTAATTCAAGCATTGTTCTTTGGGATATTCACTTCCTTTCAGTAACTGCAGGTTTCATATTCTCTCCTGGTCCTAGGGTCCTCTTGTTTCATCTCATTGTACTTGAGAACTCCCCAGAAATTCCCCCCACTAATTTATAAGAAATCTCTTTTATGACCTCTACATGTTGCCTTATCTTTATCTCTTTGAACTATTGCAAAGGAACAAGAGAGAAGAAAAAAAAAACCTTAGTCAAATGGACACCAGGTTACAGTAAATGAAACTGTCAAGGACTTAAGAGAGCTACATAAATTGAGATACAAATCACCTTAATAATTATTTTATCCAACCCTCTAATTTTAAAGATAGAAATTGGAGGGTCAGCAGTCACCAGGCTCACTAGGAGCAAAGTCTAAGGAAGAATCTAAGTTTTCTAAATCTGATTTCTATGCTTTTTTTTCACTGTGCCAAAATTAGGAGAGAATTTCAGGGTTTTTTTTGGTTTCCCTGATTTCCACTCACCCCTTAGGAAGTTCGCCACTTCTAATGTGTGTGTGTGTTTGTGTGTGTGTGTGTGTGTGTGTGTGTGTGTGTATGGGTGTGTGTTTTAATCTTCCAAGGGTTCTCAGTCCATTCTAACTGATTCCTCAGTCTCTATATTACTTCAGGGAACACTTACTGTCAGTGCTGTAGGAAGAAATAAATTCACCTAAGGTTTTAGAAGCTGGTAACCATATTTATGTTACTCACTCCAGGCATATTTATGTTTTTAATTGAAGAATAAACTTCTCATGAGGAAATTCCTGGGATAAGAATAGGCTTTTAATGGAGATATCAGCATAGAAAATCCCCTTTTCATTTCATTCAATTTAATTCACAAAATTCTTCAAGGAAGGTAATATTTATAAGGCAGGTACTAAATGTTAATAATTATGTTAAACATTTAGAGTACATCATTTAATTCTCAAAACAGCTCTCTGAGGCTGGTTGTAATTTAATCCTCATTTTACAATTGAGGAAATCACTGTCCAGAAATATTTAGAATTGTGCCCAAGGTCGATGACTTAGGATTCGGTAAAGCAGGAATATTAACTGTCTGTCTATATGACCCAGCTCATAACCACTATAAAACACTGCCTTCTCAACTCTTTATTTGACTGATTTATTTCTCCTCTTTATCTTTTGAGAAACAGAAAATGACCAACATCTTCTCTGTGACGCTATCTGTCAAGTAACTTTCAGGGAATGAAATAAATCAATGCCCAGGGTGTATTTATTTCTGAGTTGAGGGTTATAGTAGAGTGTTAGTTGGTCTTCAACAGTAACAATTCATTACATTTGTAGGGTTTCCCTGGTGACTCGGATAGTAAAAGAATCTGCTTGCCATGCAGGAGATGCTGGTTCAATTCCTGGGTCAGGAAGATCCCTGGGTCAAGAAGATACCCTGGAGAAGGAAATGGCAACCCACTCCAGTATTCTTGCCTTGGAAATCCCATGGACTGAGGAGCCTGGTGGGCTACACAGTCCATGGGGTCGCAAAGAATCAGACAGAGTGAGCAACTAATGCACACTTTTGTAGCAGATGGAATGTTTCCCATTTGCAGTCACTGTCTCTAGGGCCTCTGGTTTCTCTCATCACTGGGATGGAACAAGATCTTCCCAGGAGATCTCAATTAGTTTGGAACATGAATGTTTTTTCTTGGATGTTTCCACCTATTTCCCATAATGATATTCAGGCGAGTTTCCCCTGAGACTAGGGAAATGTGGCTTTTCCCTTCTCACTGGGGGTGCAGCATCCATTTCCAGTATGTGCTCAGATCTCACTTCAGAGTCCACTGTCTTGCATTGATGGACAGGGGTCTGACTTGGGTGTGTAATAAATGGTTGGTCAATATACTGCTTCTATCTCAGGTACTGTGGAACCCTCAGGGGGCGACTACACCTGACCAGAGGTTAGAGTTGAGTAGCATTCCTATTAGCCTTGCTTGTCTTCTGATCTAGATTCCCAGTGCCCACATATGGCGTCTACCAAGCTCTCCTCAACCTGGGATAAGC